TTAAATATATATATATATATATATATATATATAAATAAACGAGTCATTATGTCACGTGCAATCGATCCACCAAATAGTCTAATGTTTTTGATAATTGTTGATTAAGAATAACAAAGAGTGTACATTATTGCATAGATTGTGTAAGGTACTATTTATAGTGTTCTGCGCTGTATTATTTATTATACATAATACCGAAAATCGAATATCAATACGGCTATGTTTCCAGAGATGATATGCGCTCGTGTCGATCGAATCAAACGCGTTAACGGTTGTGTATGTCTACGCATCGTCGTCGTACATGTGAATGCGTGCGTGAATGAGTGCGTGTGTGCGTGGGGGTGCGTAACGCGTGTGCGAGAGAGAGACTGCTGACTTTAAATACTCAATGCTGTGCTGACCCCGGCACGCATTGTCGTAACAAAGCGTGAAACGCGCGAGACAGAATCAAGAACTGTAAATCGGATAGTACGTCACTTTTTTAACGATAGGGCTAGATTGTAGGTTTTAGATGCCTTTTTCGGATATCACACAAATCGATAGAGACGGATCTTCCGTCGTCGTGAAACGTCGCGAGGTAAAGAAGAACCCTTCGGCGAATGTGTTAATAATATATACATAAATATGTATACCTGGTGACTCGCGAATGTAAGGTCGAGTCGATCAATTCGCTTGGCGACAGGCACGTCGCGACGTTCAGGTAAAATCCCGAATAATTCGCTAATTTCGGTTGCATCTTCGCCTCGACGACGCGACACGCGACGGGTCGGCTTGTTGTTTCGCGACTATATAGCTGGTTTCCCCTTTTTTTCTCCCCCCGTTTCTTCTATTTACATCGTAAATCCGTGCCGTATCTGTCCTTGGCGTGGCGTTTAGCGCTCGGTCGTTCAATGACGAGACACCATTTCGTCATTAAGTAACAAAGGACTAATAACAAATTCTATTCTTGTAATGTATCGACGGCGAGCGCTACACACACACACTTGTGTACGTCACGTGGGCCGTTTTCGAGCGCTAAACGCGACGCCGCAGGACGCGGATCGTCGTTTTCCCTTAATTTCTTTCCTTTTTTTATACTTACGTTTTGCATGACGATGTTCGATTTACGTCATTAGCGCTAAATAACGTGTGTAAATGTATATCTGAGTTCGCTTGATTGCCGATTGATCGCGGCATGATATTTAATTGCGCATACATAGTCACATGATCACGATCGTTGCTCTGCGCGTCTTTTTTTTTTTTTTTTTTAATAAAAATTTCTAGATGAATGTTATGTAAAGATCATAGTATATGTATGAGAATTACACATATACGCGTATACGTTGGAGTTCTCATTTACGTGTAAATAATGAAAGAACGAGGAATAAAGGTTCTACCGCGTAGGACGGAGGCGCGTTGATGACTTTGCAAGAATATAGTACAAGACGGAACTGCTAGATTTATATGCCATTTGATGAATGCAACACGTTCTCTATGTACATTTATTAAATATATTAAAAGGTAAAACACAATTGTGTGCGTTATGTGGAGCTCACTGTCGGAAGCTTCTCGAGTAACAATTGATCAAGTCGTTAAAAGAGTCTGAGTAACATGAAAGTTTAAGAGAACGTTGAAGAGTTTCGCTTCTCGAGGATAAAGAGATCGATAAAGTGGAATAATAATTATCATTTATTGAATCTCTCTTAATCTCTCGTACAGTAATAACAGAGTAAAACTGA